ACCCCCTGTATACAAGCAACCCGCGGTGCAACGCCCCCTCTGTCAGCCAGACCTTATACCGCACCGCGCCTGAACAAGAGACCATACCTTTTGAGGCACTGGCGTGATATGCTTCGCTTTCGCTCATAGCCAACTAGATGTGAGGCATCCAGTGCCTGTGTTCCCTAAGCTGTCAAGATGTGCGCCCAATAGACTGGGCACCACCATGGCAAACAATTCATGGAAATATTCATTACCTACGGACCTCCATCTGGCCCAATCCGATTCGATTAATGAAATAATTAGTACAATATCTTCTTGACAAGAGAACAGAATTGCTGGAACCACAGTTGGGAGAGATCTTGCAATATACAACTGAAACAAATAATGCATACACACTGTGTCTGTATCATCTCAATCAGTAGGGTGAGCATCAGTGTGTGTCCTTGATTTACAATAACAATGGTTGAATTTGGATACCAAAATCAAAAGGCTAAGGTATAATTTATACAGACTTTCTAAACCGTGACAAGAAAGATTTATTTTTCCATAGCTCACACTGATTCAAATATTGGATTACCAGATAAGTAATTCAGCAGGCAGTAGGCCAAGGCATTGACTTACTAATGTTTTCACGACCAAATAAAAACGATCAACTACCACAAATAAAACAGTAAACAAAAATCACCCATATTGTCCTAAACATCAGAGGCAAAAACCAGTACTAAAATAGCAACCTAATCACATTTTTTCACACACATAGTTAGAGGCCAGCAGAAGTGCACCTTGGATCGAAATGCACTATGTTGCAAAACAAGAAGAAAAGTTCCAAACAGTCTTATTTTCAAAGTGTTTACAACAACATAGACCTATCCAATTTGGTTGAAGAAGTGAGTCCACAAAATATACTTGATTGACAAAAAGTATTAGAACCACAGTTCAGAGTGATAAAGGAACTATACAACTGATACAAGGAATCCATAAATAAGAGCCTAAATCATCTGTACCTATATGGTGAGAAATCAACAACTAAATTCCAACTGAGATAAACAAACAAGCCACAAAGTATGTTCTTGATTTACAATCACAATACATGAACTTGGAAACCAAATTAAAAGGCTAAGGAACTTAGAATGTCAGCACAAACACTGACAAGCTTTATTATTTACTGACAGCTCCCACAAATTAAAATATTTGATAAACATACAAAAAATACATCAGGCAGGATCCAATATACTAAGGCACTAATTGATAGCATGTGGAGACAAAAGTAAGAGGTGTCTGCCACAAAGAAACAAAAGCATCCTAACCCATGACATAGTAGTAGTACACAAAAGGAGGAGAAAAAATAATAAAATGAGAAAACAGAACCCATACACAATAGCAGCCTACAGAAGTGGTCCGTAACGAAAAATACACTGTGTTGTAATAAAGCAGCAGAAAAACAAACTGTGTTCCACTTTACAAAGAAAACTACAAACTACTGACAAAACAGTGATTTAACCAACACAAATCAACATTTGGATCCAATTTCATTTATAAATTAAGTCCACAATGTCATAATGAGAAATACATAGTATTCGAGCCAAAGTTCAGAGTGAAATAGAAATTACAACTGATACAAGCAACGCATATACACAAAGGCTGAATTGTCTCCATCAATAAGGTGAGAAAATGGCAATTAAAGTCAAACAGGGAAAAACATACACGAGCTAAAAAAAACAGGCCACAGAGTTTGTTCTTGATTTAGCAACAAAAAATTGCTGAATTTTAGCCTAGTGAAGGCTTTGGGCCGATAAGGTAGATGGAATTTCAGACACAAAACACTACCATGGTTTATAGAAATGGACGGAAAGAAGAAAAACAGCTCGATAGCCAACTGAGGAATATATCTATCACTTTTCACGCATAAGATTTGTGCTTATTAATACAAATAGCGTCCAAAACCCCATAATGACAACAAAAACAGAATAAGCCACTCACAAAAGCTGTCCACACGAGAGGACCATGTTCTAAAATAAACTAGGTTGCATGGGATAATCACAAAGAGTATCTTGTATTCCACTTTACATGAAATATTAAAGAAAACTTAAAAGTGCATGTTTCCAAAGTGCAGGATATGGTTCTAATGTGACACTAGCCTACACCAAGTATATTGTAAATGTAAGTCTATGAAAACTAATTGAGAAAAAAAGAGTATTGGAAGTACAGCTCAAAGTCATAAAAGGCTGCCAGGATAATACAAACCTTCATTTGCAGGCATTGTCTCAATATTAAATTTCACAATAAGAGAGGATTTCAACAACTTGATAGGCACTACGAGAAACAAATTTATGCTTGAAAGCATGCTATATAGAGTACCCTTGACACACAATAACAATGCTTAACAGTGGAAATCAAACCTGGATGCCAAGTCTTAATATGAAGTCTCACCCCAACCCGAGACAAGATTCATTATTTTCATCTAGGTCAGACCAACAACTGTGTTATAAATAACTCGACAAAGAATTTTACAGAAAATTTTTTGAAGAAATATAATCCTGACCCTACAGTCTACCAAATCAAGTCTAGCACTATAAAGGGAAAGAAAATCACAATGAAAAGCATACTACAAGAGTGTAAGATTAGATAGAAACATTCACACCTATGGTCCAAGTTGCGTCTCACAGTCAGCAGTAGTCTCCCTTCCGCATGTAAGCTAACAGTGACAGTCATACTTGGTCTTTAAAAAGCTACATAGATCCACTTGTGCAACCGATACTTCCCAATGAAATTTTTAAAATGACCTGCTGACATTCAAAAATAATAATGAAACTTATACAGAAACTTTTGGCTTTGTAAAATAATAAAAGACAGGTACAAGAAGAATAATTTCAAATCTCAATGCAAAGCAAGATATTTATATAAAGTCAATCAGGAATGGTTGCTATAAAAAGTACTGTCACTTATGATATCAATGCTACAGGAAATTGGACTATTAAATGTAAAGATTGGAGCTGAAACACGGCCTATAAAGAGGCAAAAGGAAAAGAAATTCATAAAGAAGTTTGAAAAACCAGTATACTACAAACAATTGACAGCAAAAATCCATAGTAGTTTCGTGAACTATTTTTAGCCACAGAAGTTGAACAAGCCCTCAACTAGCAAAGTGAACCACAAGGACACCATGAGCAGATATGTGTTGGTTCTATTTCAAATTGTAAAATAACAGATGCAAACTGTTAGTCATAGTAATAAGACCA